CCAACTAAGCCATCCAGGTATCCCAAGAAATTCTTTAAGAAAGCAGGAAATGGAGGAGAGATATCAAGACAGGGTGTGTGTATGTGGGGAGTGGTGGTGGTGGTGGTAGAAGTCTTCCCCAAAAGCCACGTTCTAGGTATTCATAAGCAGCGGTTCTAGGTATTCATAAGCAGGGTTGGCTTAATGCCATTTTGGACTTCCCAAGAGAGACGCTAATCTCAAGGGTGAGGGTAGAGAAAGGCAGGCTGGAAAAGCCTTATCTTTTTCTCAGTTTTTCAGTCTTCCTGCTGAGTGGCTAACAATCTCCTTGCTGCTTTGTTCTTTCCTCCACCAGTAGTGGTCTCAGGAACTCTGATTTTCATATCCTTTCCTCCGGCTTTTTCCAACCAGACCCTGTGAGACACTTGTGAGGTCTACAAATTACATTTATCTCCAAGCCTGAGATGCCACATCCCCTCTCAGTCAGGCAGCTTGGGTGTTTGGAACCCTCGTGATGTTTCTGGTCTACAGTGGCCTGCGTGCAGAGGAGGGGCCTCTGTTTTGAGGTTTGTCCCCTTCAGTGAGTTTCAGGGCACCTGGGGGAGGCAGGAAGTGGTATCTCACAGCTCCTGTTTTGATCTTGTTTGGCTGATTCTTCTAGCCCTGGGAGCCAGGGGGCGCCCCCACCCTTTCTGCTTCCTGTATTACTCAGCTGGGCTTTGCAAAAGCAAAAAGCTTTGCCAAAAATAATTTTTCAAAGTGCCTCCTGCTATTAATGTTTTTCATAATGTCTCGTGTGAGAGCTGAGAGTCCAGGATTTGGCATCTCCAGTAGCCACAGGGCTTTGGGACAGATAAAAGAGATGGACAAAGACTTTCATTGTTCTGGGCTTTGGACTAACTGGTAAAAGGGCTGTGTTTCCCTGAGTGACCTGTTCACTATCAATCCACCGGTCCTGAAATCAGCTCCTTCTGCACCCCCATTTCCTGGTTCAGATCTCTGCATTTTCCTTGTGCCTAAACTCCTGGCTACGGCAGAATGTAATGAAACCCACGGAGTTTAATGTTTATCTTGCTGTAGTTTGAGAAGAAAGCAGACAAGCCCAAAGCAATATCCTTTTATTTTCCCCCTGTCTCCTACCCTTTTGGGGTAGCTCCTCTCTCTTTCCTTACTATGGTTTTAATCCAACATTTTGCCTCTCCCAACTGTTTCTGCATTTTAGACATACTCCAGATTACTTTTCCATTCGCGGTGCAATAGAAGACAGTTGAGGAGAGCCCCTTCAGTGGGGATGAAGGACCACCCAAGTCTGGGGCTTGGAAAAAAAAAAAAAATCTCTTATCCACAGCTCAACCTTCCCAGGCTCCCTGAGGCAGGGAAGAAAGCTGTAGCCAAGTTGTTGCAAATGGGGCATATAGTTTCCTGGTCTGAGCCTCAGTCCCCTTGCCACACATGCTCCTGCCCCATCAAGCCCAGTGGTACAGTATGTGGGAAGAAGCACTCTTTACAGGCCTACTGTGGATGTTTTCTGGGCAACCGCCCCCCCCGGGAGCCCAGGGCTCAGAGAGCACAGTACCCCTGGTTGGAAAGGGAGCAAGATGGAGGCCATACACACCTGGTGCTGGTCTGAGGTCTTCAGCTCCTGCTTCTGCTTGGCTTTCCCCAGCCTCTGATCTGTTCTCCAGAAACACCACCACCTCACCGCAGAAGCGCCAGCCCACAGCTCATCTCTGCTCTAGCAGGGGTTGCTTAGGGCTCCCAGCCAATCCCCCGCGGTGCTGTCATCTCAAGATCTCGTTTCCACTTTGCAGAACTTAAAACCCCAGTGTGCCCTGCTCATGTTTTGTATTGCCCAACACTGCCAGCTTGCTTTCTCTACTGCCCGAATTGTGTCTGCTCTGAAGGGTGGACCCAGCTCTGGAGTCTCAGCAGTGCCCCAGGCCCCATCACCTCCAGCAGCCCCAGAGTCAGCTTTGAGGTGGAGGCAATGCAGGGAGCTCATTCTTGGGGTTCTCTCAGAGTTTGTGGTGAGCTTCCATGCATGTGAAGTTAGAGAGTAAAATCACAGGGGCCAAATGGGAAAAATAAAGGCCTAAACTGGGCTGAATGTCAGTCCCTATTTTGGTCACATTCTTCCAATCAGTTTTCCCAATACCATAGTCCGGGCTTGTCCTTCAGCAGCAGTTGGGGCTTCCATGGCAGGGGTGGAGGGTTGGATTATTTTGTTTTGGGGGAAACAAGAGCTCTTAACTGACTATTTTTGTGAAAAACAGGAAGCTAGGGGGTTGGTGGGGAGGAGGAAGAATAGAAGGGTGCGTATAGGGAGGGCTGGGAGAAAACCACAACCAGAGCAACTTCCGCTCGCGTGCCCATTGTGGAGTGAAACTGCTCCAGAGGTGACCATGGAAATGTCTCCCATTCCCACTAAGCTTGCCACGACTCGAGCTCTGAGTGTGGCTTACCTGGGATGTTGCCCCAGCTTTGGCCACTTCCACACCTACCCAGAGCCATGGTCCCCATTGTTGTCAGAGATACTTCCAAAACACAGATCCAATCGTTTTTGCCTCACTTCCTTGACTTTTTAGCATGTATATTGCCCAAGTGAGCACAGCTCCCCAGCTATTGACTGAGCTCCTTGGGAGGATGGGCCAAATGTTGCTCAGTATCCGACTTTAAACCCACATATCGAGTCCTCCCGTTGCTCCCCTGCCGCTTGCCTGGAGCAGAGTTTCTCAGACTGGGGTTGGCATGTGTTCTCCTAGATCTGTGATTCATATGCCTTTCATTTAGAAAAGAGTCTCTGCATTATTTAAGTTTGAGATCCCCTGTCCAACAGAAAACTTCATAATTCTAGAGACCTGTCTGAAGCCCCTCCTGGTCTTACCTTTGGAACTCCTCTGCCTCCATCCCTTCATTTCAGCCACTTTGTTACACAGAGGCCTATAATCATTCTGATTCCTTTACCATAAACACCCTTTTCTTTCTGTTTTTTCTTCCCCATTATCATTTGTACTGCTGTAACCAGTAAATGACGCATCCTTCCAGACCTGGCTCAAATGGTCCCTTTCCTTTGGAGCCTACCCTGTTCCACTTCAGGCAGAGTAATTGTTTCCTTCTCTTTCCTCTGCATCCCATTTTAGAAACCACTGTTACAGCTTTATCATAAGCTGCATTCGGGTTATTTACTACACGTCTCTCTCTTCCTGGTTGATAGGTGAGCTCCTCAAGAGCAAGAACCCTACTTCTTTTTGTCCCTGTAGCATGGTGCTCAGCACACAGTTGAAACTACACAGTTGAAACTTATCAAATGCCTGCTGAATAGATGAGTGCGATGATCTCAAATTAGTTCAGCACCGGAAACCACCTGGCATGCACAGCTGTTTGTCCAGGCTCCTGCTCTGCCCATGACAACGACTTCCTTGACAATCAGGAGCCCTGAGCATAGACACTAAATCCCGGTACAATGACATGTGAGGAAGGAGGCCTGAACTGAGGAAGTCTCTTTTACATCACTGTCAACTTCTTGGTTTTGATCCACTCCCTCCCAGCCCATCTCTCTGTCTAAAGACAAGTCCTCTGAGCTGGAGGGTTAGGTGTTCATGGAGGCCTGTGAGGTTGTGCTTTCTCTTTGTCTGCCCTGCTCTTTGCTCCAGTGGCGTAGCTCCCGGAATAGCATAGTTTAGAGGGTTTCACTATGGGGTCTAAGGACCCCTGGGAGTCCCTGAGACCCTTTCACAGGTTTGGTGAGGTTCTTCCCTTTTCATCTACATATCTGTGTGAGTCTGGATTTTCCTTCATATACTTCAGCAAAACAGTGTATTACAACAGATGGAAATAGGAGAATCGAGCAGTCTTCTTTTCAGACTTTAAAAAGATTTGCCAAAGTGTAAAACAGTGCTACACCCCTCACTATTTTTTTGAAAAACATACTCATTTTTCATAAAAATATGTAAATTAGGTTCATGTGTAATGAGCTTATTGTTGTTATTTTAAAATTTATATACATTTTAAGATTCCTGTTTTCATTTCTCATATGGTAAATCCTAATAGGGTAAATATAAAAAATTCTTTGGGGTTTTTAGTAAACTTTTTTAAGAGTATAAAGCAGTCTTGAGATTAAAAAGTAGGAAACCCATCGCATTAGACCATAGCACGCCTCTAGGTCTTTGCTTGTGTTGTATCCCCAGCCTAGAATGTAGTTCCTGCTTCCATGTTAGTCTGGAAAACACTTAATGTAACTATAAATATTTCCCTGGTTCTCCTCTTCTCTGGAGTCATTCCTTCCTTCTTGTGTACTATTATATCCCAAAAACATTTCTCTTATTTCATTTCTCATATCTCTGCATTGTTTGGGCATCTGTTTCCCTGCCAAAACCACAGCTCTCTGAAAGCAGGGACCCTGACTAATTAATCTCACGATTTCCAGTGCTCAGTACGGAGAACATGATCTATGAATATTTGTTGAATGAATGGACTAAATTAAGGAGGTCTGAATTTTAGTTCCAGTTCTGCCTCTAGCTAGCAATGTGACTTTAGGCAAGTCACTTGACCTCTCTGACACACAGTTTCCTCATTGGTGAAAGAAGAAAACAGACTACATGATCTCTAAAATCGCTTCTCACTTTGACCTTGATGTCTAAGCTGATTAGTAGGTACATGGTTGCTCATAGTTAATATTAGAGTGAATCCCATACAAAAAAAGAAGTTAGCATTTACCATAATCAGTAATAGCAAATATATGGGCATCTTCCTTCTTTTCTCCCAACAAATTGAGCCATGGGAATTCTTGCCAGTTTTGGTTCTGGGTCTTTCCTGGGTGTGGAGTAGTGTGACCCCAGCTCATGACTGTGGATTTAGCTGAGCTCTCCCATATAGTTACTGTGACATGTCTGACCTCCAGGTCTTAGCGCCTCCCACCTCATCTCTTCAGTAGTGAGAAAACCTCTTCCCTTGCTGGGATCATATGGAAAAAGGAACAGAAACTCACGAGCTTTGTTCAAATAAAGATTTCATTCCCTTACCTTCCAAGAGTTGTCAGAGGCCCTTATCAGAGTGGAGAGTAGGTCTTGGAGAATCACCATTTTCTGTTTTAGAACCAGCTCCCTTTGTAAGGCCTCCTGAGGGGCAAAACACAAGAAGGGACATTAACCTGGAGGAGGAGGGAGCAGGTGGGGAAAGAGCTGAGGGGAGAGCTCACATGTTACTTACTTTGAGGTACTCAGAAAGTTGGATGATTTCCTAGAGAGAAAGAAAAGGGGTATTCTAGAAGATTCTATGTCCTCTGAAATCCTGGAACACAGGACCAGAGCCAGGACTGACTTGTGTCAAGTAAATGTTGTTCCTTGGCTCAGACAGAGTCCCTCCAGGTCCCCATGTCTGTGCTTGTCCAGGAAGAAGGTGCCCCTTCATCCTAGCTGTGTTTACCATGGAATTCCAGAATGTCAGATCTTGGAGGAGCTGAGATACCATCTGAGTCAACCCTTCAAAGTGAGGATTTTCTTACCTTATCCAGAACCGCAACTCCATAACTGAGAAGAGAAGAAATGAAAACAGAAATGACAACAGATCAGAGAAACAAGCACTTGGGGAGAGATGGGTAGATTCCTTCTCCAGTCTCTTCTGAGAGCCAACAGGGTGGGGCAGGTCTTCCTTTCTCTCAATTAAGGAGGACATGGAAGTTCACTGTGCTCCTTCTCCACATGGGGGAGCGGGTGGCGGTGGTGGTGAGTTTCAACAAAGCGTAGATGAGAGGAATGGTGGTGTATGAGGAAGCTGGGGGCAGGAACGGAGAAGGTACTCACTTGGTTTGCTGACTGGCATCATTCTTAATTGTTGGCTGGGCTGCTTCGGCCTTTGTCTGAGTGCCTGAGCGATAGAAGATAAGGCGATTCAGAAGCCATGGAGGAGGAAGTGGGAAGGGACAGGGGCTGTCCACTGTCAGCAAGCTGAGCCTGCTGTAGCAAGATTCTCTGCAGGCCCCATGAGTGAGGGAGGCTCTGCTCTTACCGCGATGGTGCTGGGGTGGTTTTTTGGTGGGAGAGTCCTTCAGTGAAAAGTCCCTGGCCTGGGAGAGGCGGTCAGGTAGATCCCTCCAGGTGCCTGAGGGAAGGTGACGCTGGGTTCGAAAGATCTCAGAGCTGGTGTCTGACACCTGGGAAGCAAGTGGGGGATGCTGAAAGCTTAGAGCCTCTTAGAGCATGATTCTTCAGCTAACTACAGAAAGATGAACCCGTGATCAATTTCCAGTCTAGAAAACCAAAACAACCCATTCAAACCTTGAAAACTACTAAGTTGTCCCTGCTCCTGACCTCTCTCATCCTAGCTGGTGGGAATTGTCCTTCCCAGGCCAGGCAAAGAGGGAGCAGGGCTTGACTCTCCTTACTTTCTTTGGAATCCCTGTCTACTTTGTTTGATTTCGGTCATTTATGCTGCCCACAGTGATGTGGAGAGAGAACTGGTCTGAGAGTGAGGGCGTCTGGGGTCAGACCCTGCCCTTTCTACGAGGTCTCAGTCTCCTGTCCATGTAATGAATCTACGTGACGTAGGCAGTCTCTGAGGTCCTTTCCATATTCAAGAGGAGGTTTCGTTCCTCTCAGGGATGGATGGAATACTGCTGAGGTTTTTGTGAAGAGCAGGGATGTGCAGGGAGGGGTATAGTAGCAGTTGTCACCATCTAGTCCACTCTTTTTAAATATCTTCTACATACACACTCAAAAATTCTATGGTTGTAACAACACCAAAAGGCTAAGGAATGCCTATAGTGGCCAGTCATGCAGACTGACTCCACCGCAGTAAAACTTCAGTAACTGATAGGCTTAGGTGAAATTCTTTAGTTACGTGTGTTTTGTTCTTTCTCTTCTTAAAAAAAAATTTTTTTTTAAACAAAAAGCAAGCAAAAAAAACCCAGAAACCTCCTTGCCGTAGAAACTACACAGTTGGTTTTATTTCACAATCAGGCTCAAGGATCGTTTTTCTGAACAGGACCTTCTGTTGTGGATGATAGATCCATTAGTTAAGAAATCCCGACTTAACTTCTAGTCTGGGTATGGAACTAGGCCAGGTACTTCCAGGGAATACGGCGGACCCGTCCCCGCTGTCAACAGGCACACAACATGGATAGAAGACACAGATGGCTGGCTGGCTTAGATCGCCTCAGCAGACCCTGATTTCTGCCAGCACTGCTCCTTCTTAGGCCAGAACGATGGGTTCTCGAAGTATTATTACACAATCTTAGAGGATTTATAACCTCATAAGGACCACAGAGAGCAGAAGTAGCCTGAGGAAGCCAGGGAAAGCTTACTGGACCAGATGAAGCTTTCGTTGAATGAATTTAGTACAAATGGAACGGTCCAAGTGGAAGGGAAAAGGTAGGTGGGTGCAACAGCCTCACAGAAGAGGAGAGGACAGGTGTGTGTGTGTGTGTGTGTGTGTGTGTGTGTGTGTGTGTGTTCCTGAGAGGGGGCATCAAGAAGATGGGCCTGTGTACCTGGCATACAGTAAGCACTCTGTAAATATGTGTTGAACGATATATGTATAGACCACCTAAATTCGAACAGATAACTAGGAGTTAGCAATGGCGTTGCTTACATTTTTTTTTCTTCTTTAAGGAAGAAAAAGAGGCAAGTACAAAACAAAAAAACAGCTGAACAAACAAATAAAAACCCAAACAACGAAAGTCCCTGAATGAGTCTAAGTGGCTCAGGGAGGTGACTCTATTACTGAGGAAGCAGGAACTTAATTTAAATTTGCTTTTCAGTGAGTCTGAGCCCACCCGCATGCCATAGTACCCCTGCCCCTGTCCAGAGCAGCGTGTCCCCTGACATGACCCACCTGCTGCTGGGGGAAAGAGATCCTGTGGGCCCCAGACAAGGGTTCTTTGAGGTTAGTTGGCTGGCCTGGCCTCCTGGAGGGACCTCGCTCCTTGGCCCTGGGGCTCTGGGCCTTGCCTTTCTCCTCTACCTCCAAGTTCCTCCTCCTGAAGAACTCCTGTTGTCGTGCTCTCTGGAGCTGCTCTCTTTGCTGGAGCCTCAGTGCCTTCCCCACCTGGCGGCAAGTGGTCACATTGGGGCGGCAGCGGCGGCTCTCACGGGTCTCCTGCCGGCGCTCACACTTGGCCTCGTAGCTCTCAGCCCACCGGGCCAAGCGAGGGGAAGGCCTGGGGTCCGGGCTGATCATGATGACCTCCTGAGCACCTGTTGTGCTTGGCTTCCAGTTCCTGGAATAGCTCCCTGGGTCTGCCAAATGCCAAGAGGGAGGAGAAGGGGAGGGGTCAGGAGATGGGCAGAAAAATGACTGTCTCCCTGGACCAGGGGCGGAAATAGCATAGCCTCCCCCTGCATGTGGGTTGAAAACGGACAAGGTGATGGTGTTGAACTGGGAGTCAGGACTCCTGGGTCCAGGCTGTACCGGGCACCTGTAACTTTTGCTTTCCTCTCGCCTATGTTTCCCCCTCTGCAAAGCAGAAAGATCTCTTTGGCTACCACTTCTTCCTTGACCTTCCTTGACCTCACCCTGCCTCTGAGTCAGGGGAATCTGAGAAATAATTGATGAAAATTGACATGGCAATTGATGAAATTTGGACGGCAGGTAGGGATGTGTTCATTTTCCAGAGACTTCTAGAGAACCAGGTAAACTGGCTTCCTGTTCTCCAATCTAGAAGGAAAGCCAGAATCTTTATGCTCTCTTGGCCCAAGCTGATGCTAAAATAGATGAGTGACTCTTCTCAAGATCTGGAGAGATAACCAGGCCCCCCAAATTGGGGCCTGTCCTGTGACCCACTGCTATCTTCTTAGCCCTTAATAACTAGCTTCTGAGTCCGGTTTTGGGTGTGGTTTAGGAGGGAAACCTCACACTAACTCCTCTAGTCATGGAGTCCTGACATTGGTCCGTTGGTACCCACTCCTGGCCCAGGACTGGGCTCTGACCTGGAGCACATCAACTCAAACCAGTATTGGCTGAGTACCTGCCTACTGCCCAGCGTTGACCAAAACATTTCAGAGCCTCCAGCTCAGTAACTCTCCAAGCTGAAGTTTCCATGTTTTAGAATCTCCTCCCTATTAGGGCTAAGTATGCTGCCAGGTCTGCTCTCCTTAGCCCAAACAGAGATCGTGCCATCAAAACCAGCAACCATGCAAATGATACCTCAATAAGGCTATTATAAACAGAAAGGAAACAAATGAAAACAGTCACCAAGTCCCCAGGGAACCAGGCTTGGTGTAGAAGCCATACCTGCTGCCTCTTCTTTCTTCTCTGTGCTCTTCTCTCTCTTTCCCACTCTTTGTCACCTACCTTCTGCACATTTGTTTCTTCTCCTAGAACCCTCTGGTAGCTTGGCTGAGTTGGGGCTGGAGCTGGCTGAGCCAGATTCTGAGCACAGGAAATTCTGTGCCCTGCCTCCACTGATTACTGGAGTCAAGCCCAGTGGATGATGAAGGAAGAGGGACTCCCCCTTCCAGCTTCTGCTTCTCTTCTCTGTCCCACAGTGTCATCACCCACCACCCGGGGAACCCAGCTCCTGGGTAAGGGAGAGAGGGCACTCAGCTTCACTGGTCAGCAGGCACTCTCCAGCTCTGGCCCCTTCAGTTTATTTATAAGCCAAACAGACTCAACAGGTAGCAGCCTCTCTGCCCTTTCATTGGAACTTTGCTACCCATCTGGCTCAGTCCAGAATTCTCTGCAGGATTCTTACTCTCTCTCTGATCAGACCACTCGTGCCCTGGGGCCATTCATGGGTGAGGCGGTCTCACTCCAGGAGAGGGTCTTATAAGGTCAACCCAGGCATTCTCCCAAATGCCTGACTCTGGAGGCTTGGAGGGGCATTGCTCTGGCCTTGGGCCGTGCAGGCCCCAGGCAGAATTGTGAAGTTGTCAGTGCTTTCCTCTCATCCCATTCCTGGGGAGCTCTCCCCTTTCTTTAGGCTTTTCTCCTCATTCCTACCCTGTAGGGTTCCCTGACTTCCCACCTGCCACTTCTGTTATTTAAAAACAGAACAGGATCCAAAAGGCCCATTGGTATTGAGTTGTGAATGACTGAATGATTGTGTACAGGTGAGCTCCACATCCAGAATCTACCTTGTAGTAGCTTAAGCCACAGCCCCTGGCTATTCTGCCTTAGATGGGGGCAGTTGAGAGCCCTGGCTCCTGGCTGTGTGGGTTCATATCCTGGCTCTCCTACTACCTCTGTGCTTTTGGACAAGCTATTAACCATCTCTTAGTCTTAGTTTTTTCATTTATAAAATAGGACCACAACCTCCCTTGTAAGCTTGTAAGAATTAAAGAAAAAAAAAATGCCCATCGAGCATCCGGCACATAACACACAATAAACGTTAGGTTTTTACAATACTGAAGTAGGATTATTATCACCCCGGTCTTGCTGATCTTGGCTCTTAAAGACTTGGTGCTATAAGACCGAGGCCTCCAGCTAGACTCCAGGATCAAGAATGCCTCATCCCTCTGTCCCCCACTCTCTTCTCTTGGAAGGGGTGCTGTTTACACATGGAAGGGATGTGGTCTCCGGTTGAAATCATACATACGGCTCTGGTTCATCTGGATGTGGGCCACAAGGAAAAGGGACTTCTTTGTGATCTGGGCACAGCTGCCATCTCAATTAGGCCCCGCAGAAAAGCAAAGAAGAGGTGGGGTGCAGAATCCATGTCCAGCCCATCTGCTTCCCACCATTAAAACGTGGGCCACTGGGTCCCCTCCCTATTTGGCTCCAGGGAATCCGAGGGCTTTGCAGGGGAGGCAAAGCCAGTAATTATGGAGAATCCGCCTACCTCCCTGCCTTGGGGAGGAAAGGGCTGCGGGGGAGGAGCCGGAGCCTGAGATGGGGTCTCTCCAGATTCTGCCAGGTTGCGGACACCAGTGCACCAGTCCACGGACACGTGGGGTGGCCTGAGGGGCAGACCCTGGGACCGGCTACCCAGGCAGAGTCTCGCAGTACAAATGGCTCCTTACAGAACGGAGCATTCGCAGACCCCCCCACCCCCCCCACCCCCCCCCCCCCCACCCCCACCCCCATAGGATTAGGTGCACACAGCTGAGTGGAATCCTGTCCAGCTTTCAAGGATGTCTTGACCGTTCTGATTTGCTTAAACACAAGAAGCCGTGTGGGATGGCTGAGTGACAGGGATGGGCTGCGGACGAAAAGGGAACTGGTCCCTGTGTAGTTCAAAGAAAGGTCACTGGGCCGCTGCCCAGGCTTTCTGGCATCTGGCAGCATGACAGGGCCCATGTGGAGCTTGGAGAGGAGGTGATACAGGCTCAGGGCGTCCTGCCACAAGGAGAGGTCAGGGTGCTGCCCTCACCTGACAGTGGTTTGTCGCCGCCTTTCCAAGCCTGCTCCTGCTTCTTGTCTGTGTGTGCAGTGAGGGCTTCCCACATAGGTCTGGCTGCCGGGGGCACAGCTCCCGGTGTGAGCTTAGGAGAGAGGGGCCTGCACAGAAGCCGCGGAAAGGCAGCGTGTTGTTTTGGGGACTCCTGCTTTGAAGACAACTGTAAAAGGTCGTTTAATTCATGCCCATCACTGGCAAGCTGGGACCCTAAGTCATTTGACTCACTCCTAATCCAATCTAACGGACGGAGCCGAGGAGCGTTCAAAGCTGTATCCCTGGGCCACGCCTGGTGCTTCCCGGAACCATCGCAGGACACTTTCCCACCCCCAACACTCTTAAACTCTCTTAAACCAACTCTTCTGCTTCTGTGTCTCCCCCTTCAGCCTAGGGAAGCTTGGGTGACAGATCATTTTCCCCGCCCCAGAGTCAGAGGTCCCCAACCTGGACACAAAAGCATCCTCCTTCTCAGTTACCTTGGGTCCCAGGCTCCAAACCAAACAACTCAGGAGAGCATTCCAGCTCCTGGGCAGATCGTGGCTCTGGTCTCAGATGGGGCAGGACAGCAGCTGAGTAAAGTGCAAGCTCTCAATCTGTGGCTCCGGGCCCCCTTAGCGTTTCCCTTGTTAGTACGGTCTTTCTTTTTGCACAGCAGCCTTTGCTGAAACAGGAAACAGACAAAGCCACAGTGCTTGCTCACCCCAGTTCCTCTATCTTGCTCTTGGGCACAATCTGAGTGGGCCCCTGAGCCCTTGAGGCCTCTGGGGCTGGGCACAGGAGCTCCTCCCATCTTTGGGCACCCCAGCCATCCTGTCTCTGGCTAGTGGATTGGTGTGAGCTCTCAGTTGGTTTCAAATCCAGATCCCATTCTAAAAAGTAGACAAGGACGGGACTCAGGGTCACATCCAAACCTTGCAGTTTCAATGAGGAGGAAAATACCTTTCTGACCTCGAAGAGATGTTCTCAGTATAGGTTTTCATGCATATCAGGTAGCTCTGTAAAGATTTTCTCTTTCCTCTGGATACCTCTTCCCAATCCTAAAGGGTTGGAAAGAGTTTCTGCTCTTCCAAAGTACCTGGTATCTTTTTCAGAATTCTGGAATGAGGCCAGCTCCAAATTTGCTCCTTTCTGAAGCAATGAGGGGGTGGGGGTATGAAAGATAATGGGGGGGGGTGGCTCGGGCATGATAGGAGCAAAGCAGACAATCTCATAAAAAATTTCTTTCCAGTTGACTAGGAAATTTGGGGAAAAACTAGAAAGAACTGATCTCTGTGCATTAAAAAGAAACTATTGCAAATGATATTGTCAGGAAATTCACAAGAAGTTGGGGATAAGAAGGTGGAGAGGCAACTGCATTAGGACAAGTTAACTAAGTAGCTTTGTAACAGGGAGGAGTAAAGAGTGGTCCACTCAATGAGGCTTCTGTGAATTCTAAGGCTTGACACATGTGAAGGGTATGAGACTTTTAAATAGCTGTGAAAACACCTATTAACTTGTGGGGCCTATGTCACAATCTTCTCTGGTGCCTACTACTTCCCCCATTCTCTGAGGAGGAAAAGAACAAGGAGTGGGCGGGGAAAAACCCAGAGCAGGATTCTCAAGCACTAGAGCTGAAGGTAAACAACACTCCTTCAGGAAGACAGACAAGGGCTCAAGATCCTGGGGCCCTGAATATGGGGATGAGAATGAGTAGAGGATAGAGAGGTTGGGGAGTCCAACATGGTAGGAATAAGAAATTTTTATTGGCACGGATGAGTGAGAGGGTGCCAGTAGTTCTTTACACTAGAGTATAAAGATTATAACAGGAATTTCTATGTGCCAACTATTTGGACTCCGTTAAAAATCAGAAAAAAATGTGTATGAAGCTCAAAATCCTTTTCAAGGTGCAGTCAATGGGATACCACACCGACGATCACGTGAACGGTAGGATGATTACCTTTGTTTTCAGCCAAGAATCCTGAGAGTCTAAACAACATTAACTGTACTCATGAACACTCTAATTCCGGAGATATTTGCTCCCTAGTAAAATTAGCTTATTTAATAGTCTTATCTTCTGTCTGAAACTGGCAATTTTCCTTCCTGGCTTAAACTGTCATTTCTTGCCACAGCCTTGGTTAAACTATCCCTGTTATTTCACAGATGGCTTCATCCTCCAGAGCCTTTTCTATACATTTTACACATTTCTGTACTTACCTTTCTTACCTTTTTTAATTTAAAAAGTTTTAAAGTAAACTGTACACCCAGCATGACCTTGAGATCAAGAGTCGTATGCTCTACTGACTGAGCCAGCCAGGTGTCCTTCCTTTCTGGTCTATTTTATGGTCAGAACAATCTGTTGTTCATAACAGAGGACATTTAAATTGATGCAGTAAAATTGAACCCAAACTGATCTCACCAAAGCACTGACAGCTTGCTGTCAGCCTGCTGTGTAAAGAGCATTTTAGGAGCACACTTTGAAAACTAATAGGGCAGATTGTTGGAGAGATGAGTCAGAAAGCATTGAGATTTTCTTTTTTCAGTTTTGTAAAAATTATAATATGATACCATTAAAATAACTTGTATTTTTTATTTGTATTTATTTGTGTTTTTTACAGTAGGTTCTACACCCAGTGTGGAGTACAATTTGGGGCTTGAGCTCACAACCCTGAGATCAAGACCCTAGCTGAGATCAAGAGTCAGATGCTTAATCGATGGAGCCACACAGGTGCCCCTTTTTTATTTTTATTTTTTTCTTAAAAGATTTTATTTATTTATTTGACAGACAGAGATCACAAGTAGGCAGAGAGTGAGGCAGAGAGAGAGGGGAAAGCAGGCTCCCCACTGAGCAGAGAGCCTGATTATTTTTATTTTTTAAATAAGTTTTAAAGTAGAAAAATAAACACCTTAATCCTACTCCCTAAACACAACTTAGTTTCATATATTTCACGTTCCCTTCTATTTTTTGTCTATATGCACTTTTTTTTACATATTTCAAGTGTAGTGAACCTACAATTATGTGTTTGTTTTTCCACTTGCTACCAGAATTTTTTTCAGATTTTTCCTTTTTCTCATATTTTTACCTTTTAGTGTTGTCATGACCTTTCCTAATGTTAATGTACCCCAATCTGTTTAGTAATTTCCTTAGTATTGAACAGTAGGGGTGTCTAGCTGACATTGCTCAGGATAATTTTTAACCCCTGGTAAATACAATTTAATAGCCCTAAGAAAAATGAGTCTGAGTTATCATAATTTCCTCTAATTGCAATAATTAATTCAGCACTGTGATAACTTTCAACCTTATAACAGGATTACTTTGTAAATCACACCGGTCACGTGCTCCGAAGCACACATACTTCCGGAGCAGCAGCCGGCGGGGGTGGGGGGGCGGGGGGGGGTGAGGGGGGGGGCGGGGGGGGAAGGCCAGCAGGAGCACTCCAGGAAGGCTGCCGGGATTGGAAGCCTGGCTTTACCCTTCACTTCCTATTTCAGTTCAGTAAATTACTTAAGGTCTTTGCATCTCTGGTTCCTCCTCAGTAAGATGGCAATGATGATCCTACCTATGTGATGATTTGAAGATTTGTGGTATAACACTCATGATGTGCTCAATAGATTCTGTCACTACCGTCATAGTACACCTGCAATTTGGAGCATCTGCCTTTGTGATTTATTAGTGGTTATAACCAAACAGACCCTCGATCAGACCTGCAGTTGTAGGAAAGCGAGGTAGTTTCAATGCAACAGTGTGTTTTATCTGATACTGTTTCATAAGTATATCCAGAGGCTAAAAAACATTTTGAAAAATTAATAAACATGAGGATCTTCTCCATCTATGGGATGATGGCAAAAGTTAAAATATGTACTTTTAAAAAAAAAAGATTTTATTTATTTAGGGGCGCCTGGGTGGCTCAGTGGGTTAAGCCTCTGCCTTTGGCTCAGGTCATGATCTCAGAGTCCTGGGATCAAGCCCCATAACACGGCGGTCTCTCCGCTCAGCAGGGGGCCTGCTCCCCACCCCCCATGCCTTCCTCTCTGCCTACTTGTGATCTCTCTCTCTCTCTGTCAAATAAATAAAATCTTTTTTTTTTTTTTTTAAAGATTTTATTTATTTATTTATTTATTTGACAGAGAGATCACAAGCAGGCAGAGAGGCAGGCAGAGAGAGAGGAGGAAGCAGGCCCCCCTAGAGAGCAGAGAGCCCGATGCGGGGCTCGATCCCAGGACTCCGAGACCATGACCTGAGCCGAAGGCAGCGGCTTAACCCACTGAGCCACCCAGGCGCCCCAAATAAATAAAATCTTAAAAAAAATTTTTACTTATTTAACAGAGAGAGACACAGCGTGAGAGGGAACACAAGCAGAGGGAGTGGGAGAGGAGAAGCAGGCTTCCCGCCCAGTAGGGAGCCTGATGCGGGGCTGGATCCCAGGACCCTTGGATTATGACCTAAGCTGAAGGCACCACCCAGATGCCCCCAAATATGTAAGTTTTTAAACTCACCCAACTCAAGTCAACTGACCATCCTCTTTTATAAATATGTATCATACAACTGTATCAGGAAGAAAAACATTTGATGTACCTCACAGTGCTGCTTCAAAGAAGTGTCTTGTAGGCCATTTAACTTTCATTTTATATCAGACCGAAGCAAATGTATTCTGAAATAAATAATGTGGACACAATAGCACCTACCTCAGAGGGCTGTCTTGAGAATAAAAGTGAGTTCATATTCATGCAATAGAATAGTGCCTGAACATAGTAAGTCCTATGTTTGCTAATAAAGTGAAGTAAAAAACCAAATTGTCCCAATGTGGTGAGACTCTTCTTAGTTTCTGCATGAAGTAATCGATTATTTGATTCATATGGAGATTATAGAGAGGAATGGATTTTTGTTTATAAGAAGATTGTTGTCATTTCTGTTTTAACTTTTACAAATACCTACTGCAAGTGAGCATCTTCCGGCAGGAAATTCTGTGGTCTTCTTCTTTTGAACTATTTCCTTTAGGATAAAATTCAGGAGTGGGTATGCTGGAGCAGTTTCAAGAAGAAGCAGTCTAGTTCTGATGAGGAAGTTTTGCAGGAAGTGGGCAGGAAGGAACAGAGCTAGGGTTTGGGGCCCTGTTGGAGATGGCAAGGTCCAGGAACTGCTGGGAGGTGAGGGGCTCTCCCGCCTGTTGCAGTACTGCTGGCTGCTTGTAGACAGGCACAAACAGGGTGGTGTGGGGCAAGGAATAATGGGCTGGAATCTGAGGAAATGACTTTTAGATCCATCTACACCTTTTCCTTGAAATGAAAAGTTGTTTTGTCCCCATAGTAAGCCTTTCCCAGTATTAGGGTCTAGGAGTCCTTTATTTCTCAAACTAATAAAATACGTTATACACACCAAGATCTGTGTTCCGTATTAGGGATGCAACAATGAGTAACAGAAAGTAAATACCTTTAAGGAATTACATAAGACAATTTTAAAGGTAAATTTAAAGTCTAGTGAACTAAAGTGATTTTTGGATATAGAAAATTATAGAGGCATAGGGTAAGGCTTGGGAGAATACCCATCCCATCATTGAGGACAGGCCTTGGAGGAACGGAGGACACTTGTCCCAGAGGAAGTCATGGTGGAGCTGAGTCTTAAAGGACAGGTAGGAGTTAAATAGACAATAGGGAGAGTGAAGAGCATTCGGGGCAGAGGAGATAACATGGGCAAAAGCCCAGTGGGAAAAGAAGGGTGCCTTCAGAGGACCAGCAATTCCTTGGTCTTGGGGAATCAAAAGCTGGACCGGTGGCCCGAGATGTGGCTATGGAGGTAGCCAAGGTCCTTGGACATCACTTTAAAGAATTTGGGTTTTCTTTGTACCATTTTCCTCAAGGATGGCTTTGGATAAATGCTAGCCTGCCATGGCAGCCAAGAATCTGCCTTGATTCCCCCATTTCACCTTGGCATTTCTTTTCCCGGGAGGCTCGCAGCACCTTGCTTTAAAGGATGACCACTAGCTGTCGCTATTGAACAGATCTAGCGAAAAGCCAATGGTTTAGGGCCTAACCTGGCGGTTAGGGCCGGGAGGCCCCACCAGATGCTTGAGTCCCGCCCCGCCTCCAGCAAGGTGTGTTCATCCGCCCTAAGCTGTGATTCACGAGAAGGCATGCAGTGTCGAGGTGCTGGTAGCGCTCCCAGGGCGCGAACTGGGGGGCAGAAACCGTGGTGAAGTGCGGTACAGCACCAAAAGTCAGCCACTGGGTGGCGCTGTCCCCACCCGACGGCAAAAACCGAGGCTTGTGGAAAGGAAGTCTTTGGTCAGGATGGCCTGGCTCTGTGTCTTGGGGTGGAGTAGCTTTTCTTGCCCTCGGTCACCCGGAGTTCAGAGTGCCACAGGACTGTTCGAGGACAGTGTGAGGTCCCGAAGCACGCCCACTCAGCGGTCCCAGGGCAGCCAATCACAGCACAGGGAAAGACCCAACACCGCAGACCTCGGACCTCGGCTCTCACCAGTGTGGGTTTTTTGAAACCCTCGGGTACCTGGTCAAGGGACATGTCAGTGTGCCCTCCCCTTTGGCTGCTGTTTCTGAACCGTCCTCCCAGAAATTCCTATCTCCAAAGCCTCTGCAACTCAAGCAGGTTGTTCATCTGGCGCTTTCCTATTTTTTGAGAACTGATTTCCCTGCCCCTCCCTGTGGTTTTACCTTTTGCTCTAGGATCCTGTCTTCACCCGGTGTGTTCTGGATCTCTGCCGACTTAATTCTGCTTCTCCTGACTTTCATGCCTTTGGGCATTGGTGTCCTCAGTCCTGTTTGACCTTTGCGAAAATTCTCTCTTTTCTCATTTGCCTTTTCTTTTCACATTAGCTCTGTACCAACCTCTGTTCCCCCCGACACCCTCCTTAAAAACTAGGATTTAGACACATTCTAAGTCTACCTAGAAAACGTCTAACAACTAAGAGAAGTTAGGTTTTTAAGAATTGCTGAGGGGGGAGGAACTAGCATGTTGGGATAGCCTGATTTCCCTGAGCATTCCCCATGACCTGGTGACTGTGTGGCGTGTGATGGAGATCTGAGAGTACTGAGATGTTGACAGCGAAGCAGAGTTGCTGGAAACATCCCCAGACAGGATGAGCCCTGTATCAACGTGGGCAATGTGTTTTTTCTGTTCCCTTAATGCTGCAAATGAGTTTGGTTTACATACTTCTCAAGAAATTAAGGGATGCTTCTGGGACTTGATTAGCATACATTCTCCAGTGCTGGAGATGGGGCACAGTGGAGACGAATGTGGGTCCTTGGCAAATTCCTTGGACAGCAGGCAATGGCAGGGAGGCGGGGGGAGGTGGAGAGGATGGATTCTACCCTATGTGTGGCCCCCTGAGAGGGTAATGGGTCACCCTGAGCCACGGGTGCCTGCTGATGCTCTCACAATAAGGCCTGGCTAGAAGCATCACACATGCTGACTTCTTTTTCTTAACACAGCTTCAGAGCCGAGCTCTGCAGCAAGTCAAGGAGCTACTGGATGTGGGGAGATGTGGCAATTTCTATTTATTTTTTATCTTATCTTTTCACGATTTCTATTTTTGTCTATGCTTTATGTTAGTAAATATTATATGCATATATTATATAAATAGTAACTGTATATCTGTTAGAAATCTGTACGCCTAATCATCTTTTAATAACGAAGTATGCGATCCCAAGTTTTGGCAGCCACAACTTGGGAGCATCTTTGAAGCTTGCCATCGACTCTGGGGGTGGGTTTGCGATGCTGGCCTAGAGCAGGCCAGTCAAGGAGAAAGGCCCAGCTTGTGTTAACAGATGTGGTGGGGAGGTGGGAATTAACTGTCCCTGAGAGGGAGCTCTCCAGGAACAGCAGATGGGATGAGTCACCCTGTCTCTGAGGTCACCCTGGGGCTCCCTGCTACCTCTTATCTAGGGTCTTCCATTATACTCTTAACTGAGGAGAGGGAATCATAGTTCCTTAGAGTGGAGTTTAGAGAGGCAGGAGCCCAGGGTGCTCTTCAGCATGGGGGTGGGGAGGGGGTGGGGGGAGGGTGGGACTAAATTAGACCTTGGAGGTGGTCGGTGGAACTGGATCCTGTCACCAAGGTCAGGAACCTGGCATCTAAGGAACGCTGTCCTTCTGCTCTGATTGTGGATTTCTTTGTTTCTGTCGGGATTTACATTTGTGACAAACACTTCTGTTTGCCTCATAGACCCCAGTTTTGTTGGGGGTAAGTGTGGGCTCAGCTGAAAGTTCCATTTCTCAACCTCTCTTGAAGGGAGGGGTGGTCACAAAACGTGACTCGAGCCCAGAGGATGTGAGCTGAAGTCCTTAGATGCGGCTTCCCAATTTGCCGTTTATCAGGGGGCAGATTCTGCTGGTGTGCCTCCTTCACCCTTCCCCTTTCCCTTCCCTGAAACAGCATGATGCTGAGTTAGAGCCACTATCTTGTAACTCCACGGTGACAAGGATAGTTGAGTGGAAAGAAGGAAGGAGGCTGGCTCCCTGAGGCCCTGGTCGGCCCCTCTTAGACTACTTGTTAGGGGAGGAAAAGTAATTTCTACTTGATTGAGCCACCTTCAATGGGGTTTTCTGGTATTCCCAGGGGAGGGCAGTGCTAGTGAATGTGCTAGTGAAAGAGCGAGAGAGAGAAAAGTCAATTTTGGGACTTGCACACAGTTAAGGCTGTTGACTTCATGCAAAATGCTGATTCCCTGAGAGTTCAAGAATGTGAGTATCCCCTGTCTTTGGGAAACAGCAATGGTAGAAGCTGACCTGTTACTTTCAAGTCCTTGGAGGAGGGAAGAGGCTTTGAGCTGGGCCTTTAAGAATAACTAATTCTGTCAAGAATGTGGAATGGGAAAGTCAGGGCGGGGTGCTGGAGCAGGCTGTACAGGTTTGGGAGAGCTGAAGGTGCATTTCTCTTCTATTACACATTCAGCGATGTGACCCCCGAGGCTTGAAATTGACCAGGGTGAGAGTATCTACATCAAGGAAGCAAGCAAATGCTTCTTCTCTCTCTCTCTCTCTCTTTTTCTGGAGAGCCAATTGTTAAACATTTACCAACACACCCTTGGAAAGACCAAAGGTTTAGTTTATTAGTTACATAAATATTGTTACATACCTCCTCTTGCTTTTCCCCATAAGTGAACAGAATCAGGGAGTAGCTGATTTATACTAAACATAGGCTGAAGTGTGCCTTTAAGCCTAAGAGAACCCTGAAAGTTCAGGCTGAAGGCAAAACTAATTGGAAGCTGGCTCTGGCTATAAATTTGTCATCTGACCATGTTTCTGTCTCAATGTTTACCTCCTTTTCTTCTGATCAGCCTCCCACCCTCATCCTGTTGCAAACCTGGCTTCTTGCCCCATTTGTGACACATGCAGAGGCCCCTGATTCTGGGACTAGCATAACAGTTTACCACCCGCATCCAGACACTTGATGATCTTCTCTGATTCAGCACTAGAGTGCATATCCGTTGTGCTGTGTGGTCAGAAATCTGACTTCACATTTTGGATCTCTTTTCTGGCACACAGGTGCAGTCAGGTCTTTCCTGTTCCCTTGCACTGAGCACAGTCTGGAAAGAATCTCTTTCTAAGAAAAGCCCAGCCATATTCACCCTCAGTGCTAGCTCCTTGTCCAGGTGGTTGGCAAGCTCAATGGATTCCAGTCTGTTCTGCTGCCTGGTCATTTAGATTAAATGATGGGGAAAGGAAATTTCTCTGGTGCATTTAATCCCATGTCTCGTGTCCTATTATCTCTTACCATGGAAACCCTGCATTTGGGGATGTTGAGTTCATGCTGGATATATCCCATCTATCCCTCCAGAGCACTCTTCATTCTTTCCTACTGTGCTGTCCATGAGGAAGCTGACCTGTGTGGTTTATATCAGTCTGCTCCCTTGACCCTCTGGTTAGCTAAGAGAAAATATTAGCAAGAAATTGGAGGGAGGGAAGAGAACGAGGCTGGGGTGTTTATCCCCTCCACATCCTTCCTGCATAGTCCTAGCTGGGCTGGCGGCATCCGGTAACTGAATGTCGTAGCTCCTGTTCTGTGACGCTCTGGGAATAGCTTCTATCTCTGGATTCTCATAACCATTCTTTTTGTCCCTAAGGTGGGACTTACCACAAGACACTACCTTATCCCTTGTGATTGCACTAACCTTGTCCCCACTTTTGTAAGAAAACCCCTTTTTACTAAAGCCTACTAAAATGATCTAATTTGCCATCTCTTACTTGTTGGGGACCCAACCGATACAAGACTTTGCTGAGTTGTTAATATGGCTGATTTCTGTTTCCTGTTTGGTTGTAGTCAGGTGATGTCTGACAAGTGTTTGATAAGTGTTTGCTGGATAAAGAAATGACGAAATGTGTAAGTGGGAGGATGGAACTCCATTCCCTTCTCTCCAGATTTCTAACACACAGTGGAGAGTTAACACATAAAGTGGAGATGCCTGATGCAGTCTAAGGGCAATCAACATGTGTACGTTGTGTGGCTCAAGTTCCCAGGGACTTCCACTTCTGTGGTTTGCCCTAGTGATTTATACCCACCCAGGTATCCTCCCTCCCTGAGGAGCAATATAAAATAATATAAAGAGTATCTGAAATATACAATATGGTATGGACATGATGTCCATTAAATGGAGAACAGGGTGATTTCTTCAACTCAAGAACGATAAAAAGGTTCAGACCACAAGATACGAAATGAACACTGAAAATTTTCACTTGTGTGGTTTTAAAGGACCTTACTGAATGAGCTGAACTTAGAGCTACTAATCATGAATTTGCAACATGGATATGACCTTTATTATAATTAATATTGTATTGATCATAATATCATATATGAGGTAAATTTGATAGAACTACCTTTTAATTATACCTACGGTTACTATCTGTTTCACAACTGCAGGTTGCCGTGGTTCATGACATTCATTATAATTAGGTTTCTACTGTGCAAGTGTTAGAGGAACTCCTTCAAATTGTGAGATGTGAGGTGTGATTTACGACTCTCTGGGACACCCATTTGTCTCTCTGGAGATGCCTTCCTGGATGGAGATCAGATAGATATCAGGAAGAACAGTCCCAAAGCTCCCCTACCATGCTCCACCTGAAGGAAGTGCTTAGTTGTTGATAAATTTGTCCAAACTATAACTTCTTAAGGACAAGAATTCCAGGATCTTCCTCCCTGGATTTCCCAGCAGGAGATATGTCCAGACTGAGTTGTCATAGTACACTTCCTCTTGACGCAGAGCTCCCCCTTTGATGATTTCCAGGGCACATTCTTCCTTTGGAGATGCATCAGTGTTGATGATCCCCGAAACGGCCTTCATGGCTGTGTCTATAGAATGATGAGAAAAGAGTGGGGTTATCCAAGACCAGTAGAGTCTACAACATGGAAAGTCTGCAGACAGTAACAGCTTAAATCTGAGGGGCTGTTTGCCAGTGCTTGTTCTATAAGACCCGCGGGGCCTCTCAGAAGACTGGGCCTGCATTTAGGGCCTGCTGTGCAAAGAGAGGCTTAGAGTTAATGTGGACCCTGTGTTCCTGGATGAAGATTTGGTGGGGGGTGCGCAGTTAGAGGTGATTGAGAGAATTAAATCACGCTTCTCTCTTGAGTGTTTTGGTTGGGGTGAGGGAGTAATATGGGGGAGCACAATGGGGATAGAAGTTATATCAAGACCCAGTAGCTAATGGAAAATGTCAGTGGGCAAAGCCGAGTGCTGTATGTTAACGATTTACGAATTTGTAAAAGGAAGAGATGGACAAGAATCCAGGCCTTTGCTTTCTGTCAGCACGAACCACTTTCATTTTGGAAGGGAAGTTACTTTATCTTTTCCAAATTTCCATGTCCTTTTGGCATGGCTTCTTTTTCTCTTTCTATCCTTGTTTCACTGTGTGTGTGTGTGTGTGTGTGTGTGTTTTCTCTTGTTCGGTAACAACTCCTTAACTTATTCAGTTACTCTTTAAAGTTTTCTTATTGTACCTATTCTACATAAACTTGCATTTGGACTTACAGAAAAGTTGTAAAAATTGGGCAGAGTATCCCCTTGTAGCCTTCACCGTGCTTCCCCTAATTATAACATCATGTGTTACCACTGTACAAGTGTCCAGGTACGTTGTAATAAGGGCAATTTTACTAACTAAAACACAGACCTTATTTTTTTCACTAACATCCTTTTTGTGTTCCAGGATCTTAGTCAGGATTAGACTTAGTAATCATTTCTTCTTTTCTCTCCAGTCTGTGGTAGTTCTTCATTCTTCCCTTGTCCCTCATGGCTTTGACACTTTTGAAAAGTATTGATCAATTGTTTTGTGGAATGGCAGTTTGGGTTAGTCCATTTTTCTCTCTTTTTTTTTAAAGAAAAAAAAAAAAAGATTTTATTTTTCAGTGATCTCTGCACCCAGTGTGGGACTCAAACGTACAACCTTGAGAACAAGAGTCTTCATGCTCTACTGACTGAGCCAGCTAGGTGCCTCTGTCCTTTTTTTTTTCTGATGATTGGAGTGAGGTTATGCATTTTTGGCAAGAATATCACAAAAATGATGTTGTGTCCTCATTGCATTATATCAAAGGGTTTATGAAGGGCACCTGACTGGCTCAGTCAATAGAGCATGCAACTCTTGATCTTGGGGTTGTAAGTTTGAGCCCCATATTGGGTATAGAGACTACTTATGAAAAAAAGAAGATTCAGAATATCAATAGTTCTTATTATTGGTGATGGTATTAAGAATAACAAACTTGTACTTAACAAGCCTCAGGGAGGACAGTAATGGCCATTGAGTGTTCCTGAGGACATAAAGGTTCAGAATAGGGTTAAGTGATGGGTCTGGTGTCACTCGGCACACTTGGTGGTCAGAATGGAAAGAAGTGTCGAAGGATAGTCAGAGGCTTCCCTGGTGACAAAGTGCTTCAGTAAGTGGAGACTGGTTCTCTTGCTGGCTTTTAGTCAATGACACATGAGTCAAGGAGTTCAACGCTTCCTTTACTCACAGTGGTAAGGCAGGCTGTTTGTTGCACTGTCTTCACCTTACCTGTGTTTATGAGGCCGAGGATACAGAGAGTGATCGACACATTGACCTTGGTCACAGAATGCTCCATCCTGATAGAGGAGAAAAACCCATCCAGAGCAAACTTGCTTGCAGAATAGGGCGCAACAAGTGGGATAGCCATTTTCCCTAAATAATAAGGAAATGGGTTAAGAAGGTGACCCATTTTGGCTTCTACAGAGATGATCTTTGCTTTATCTGTCGTAGGACTTGTAACCCCTGTGGAGTCCTTTTACCCTTTGAGGCATAGTTTCTCTTTGCTCGTATAGAGGCTATCATGCTGTGTTGAATTTCTGAAAGAAAAAAAGATTATTAAGATATCAAAGAAACTTCCCTTGAAGAGACTAGGGTGGAAGGTGGGGTGGGCTGCAGGAAAAGCTTCACTGAAGAAAGACTGGTTAGATTTTAGTAAGGGGAGTATATAAGTGGGACTACAAAAGAGCCATGTAATCCCACAGCCGCTAACTCTGCTACGTCTGACCCAAGACAGCAGAGATCTGAGGGTTTGGCAAGAGCTCTCTGCCAACACAGCAACCTATTATTGATTTTCTTTTCTATACAAGGGAAATGAAAATCCTTGTCTTTGCTTTTCTGCTTAAAACTGCTTTTCTTACTTTCATCACCCCGGTTCATTCTCAGTCAGTTTGGGGAAGAACATGTGGACATATGCCTGATAAGGTGACCTCTTCATTATACCCTATTCAAGAGGAGGGATTAGAAGGGGACTGAGACCTTGACTCTTCGCTGAGCAAAGAGTTATAACAGCTACTTTAAAATTTTTGTCTGCTAATTCTAAAATATGGGTCATTTAAGGATTGATCTCCATTGATCGCCTTTCCTCCTAAGTATCAGTCATATTTCTTATTCTTGTATGTGGAGTAATTTTGCAATGTGTTCTTGATGTTGTGAATGAAACATTATAGAGTCTCTGGATTCTGTCATATTCCTCCAAAAGTATTGATTTTTTACTTTTTTTTTTTTCAGGTGGAAATTTAACTTAGCTTACACCCTGTGTCTCTTGCAGTAGGTTCCAACTAAAATCTCTGTTGAATTATTTAATCTTAATTGGTTTCTTGGTATCTACACAATCCATGAGTAATTCAGGGGATAAACGGAAGAGTTTATATATAAAATTTGGTACTGATCCACTGTGGCTCTTTCCTTTCCAGTATGTTCCCCTATACTTTCTGGATGCTACAGAAACCCTAAACTCTTTTTTCTGGTTCTTCAAGGTAGTAAGATGGCAGTTTTCTATCCCAGATCAGATATGGTGTTAATTGTGGACTGCCCTTAGGCATAAGCTATAAAACTCATCTATTGTCAGTTCCCCGTTTCCCCCTTTCAACTGTCAACAACTCTCCAGTTTTTGTCAGCTTTTGCTTTTTCTCTCCAGTGCTTTCAATGGTTGTTTTCTATATTTTGTCCAAATTTTGATCTGGAGCAGGCTGATCTGTTAGGTATCACTCTGCCATTATTGGACTTAGAAACTCTATAAGCTTACCAAGTCAATGAAAGAAAATGACTTATTCAATAAAGATGCTAGGAAAGTTGGTTAACTCATTGGAAAATAATTATTAACTCCTTGTTCTATATTGTATATCCAAAAAATTCTAGATGGAAAGTATGGCAGACAGTGTTGTTCCATTTCCCCCTTTTTAATAGTAGAATTTGATTTTTTTTTAAATCAGGACAGCAGTGTGTTCAGATAAAAATATTTATTTCCTCAGGATTCCCTTGATCTTTTGTATGGCCAATGATCTAGTTCTGGCCAATGAGAAATCTAAGAGGGGGTTTCTGGAAAAGATATTAATTTCCTGATGAAATAGGTGGATTCAGGTGACATGCATTTTTAAAATTTTGCCTCTTTTCTTTCATCCTAAATGTACTTCAGATGTGATGCCTAGCATTGCAGTGGTCATTTATGAACTTGAGGAAAAGCTACATATTAAGAATTACGGCACAGAAATGTAAAATGATTCTTAAAGATATAATAAGTCCATTAAACCAACCTTGAACTTATTCCCTGAGAAAAAGGAAGCCCTATTTAGTGTTAAGTGATTATAAGTGGAGTTTTTGTTATATGTGCAGCAGAAAGCATCTTCTGACTGATAAAAAATAATTCAGTCAGGAAAGAAGATAATATAGGTGGATATTTATCAGATCCTTGGTTATAAAAGATCATTCTAACAGAAAAATTAAAAAAAATGTAAAGGCAAAGAATATTTGATGATATAAAATGTAAAACTTCTATATGTGAAAGCAATAGCTATAATAACATCACTGTAAAGGTAAAGGGTAAATGAGAAACTAGAAAATAATTTAGAACATAAGCTTAATATCTTTAATCTGAACTTCAATCCTTAATGTATTAACTCTTCAAAAAAATACAAACAAATCTCTCCAACTCCATTCTCAATCATGAGTTTTGGCTTGGAATTACTCTACAGTCAAGTTCCAGGAATGGGTGTGTGTGGCACAAGATGTCCAACCAGAGTATCTGATAGTGCTTTGTTGTTGACTAGTCTAGGACTGGACCAAAGACTCCGTCAGGGCTTCAGGACACATTGTTGGTTGCCTAACCAGAATTTAGTTCCCCTTTCTTCCTCTGTAACTGAACCCCAATTGATTTCATGTTTCTACCTGTTGTAGAGACTGCTAGCATGCTCTCAATATATCTTTTGTTCTTCTTCTTTAGTAGTGGAATCTCTGATGTGTGTCTGGGAAAATAATTATCTGGGATAAAATCCACATTTCTTAGCTTCTTTGAGCCAGATGTTGCCAAATGACTAAGTGCTGTCCAATGGGTTGTAAACAGAAATGTATCATGTGATTTCTGGAATATGTCCTTAAAAAAAGAAATCAGTCTCTCCCTTCCACTCCTTCCTCCTTCTTGGTGCCTAAAGGTAGATATGTTGGCTGTGGCTCCAGAATTACCTAAGATCATGAAGTAGAAGCCACATGTTGAGACTCGGAGAGCACTGAGAGAGGAGGGAAACTGGGTGACCATGGAGCCTCCCTCGTAGCCCTACCTCCAGGGTACTGCCTACCTCCAGACTAATTTACCTTTTGACTTACTTAATCTATTGCTGTTTTAAATTTTCTGCATTAGAGAGCTGAACCTAATCCTTACTGAGAGTCCTTACTTTTATGCTGCCCATGTTCCAAGGGAAAGTTGATACCATCTCTAATGCTAGGGGTGGTATAATTGATTTAATCCAATCTCCTGGCCCATAATTGACACAGGAATGAGCATGTGCTCCATTTTCGACCAATGTCTTTTTTTTTTTTTTTTAAGATTTTATTTATTTATTTGACACACAGAGAGAGAAATCACAAATAGGCAGAGAGAGGGGAAGCAGGCTCTCTGCTGAGTAGAGAGCCCCATGCGGGACTCGATCCTAGGACCCTTGAGATCATTCCCGAGCCGAAGGCAGAGGCTTAACCCACTGAGCCACCCAGGTGCCCTCAACCAATGTCTTGAGGAGAATTTTGTTGGAGAGTCTGAGAAAATTTTTTTATTCTTCTGGGAGAGTTTCTTAAAGTAGCCATTTTGTTTCTCTTCTACCAGACAATTTTGTGCATGGATATGGGGGCTAGAATTACTGCAGCTATCTCACTATCAGCCTAGGAATGAAGCCACACATGGAAGAGAGCGGAGTCAAGAGAATCTTGGGGATGTTGAGCTTGAGCCAAGTCAACCTTCAATCTGGACTTCAGTTATGTCAAAAATGTTTTCTATTGTTTAAGCTAAAAATAGACCAAATTATTTATGAGAATAGCATAGTGGGGGCACCTGGGTGACTCAGTTGGTTGAGCGGTCGACTGCCTGCAGCTCAGGTCATGATCCTGGAGTCCTGAGATCGAGTCCCGCAGCAGGCTCCTGGCTCCGCAGGCGGTCTGTTTCTCCCTCTGACATTCCCCCTCTCATGCTCGCTCTCTCTCATTCTCTCTCTCTCAAAAAAATAAATAAAATATTTAAAAAAAGAAAAGAGTAGCATAGTGGTTAAAAATATGAATTCTCCAATTAGATGACCTGAGTGTGAATCCCAAGTATGCCATTTCTTAGCTGTCATATGTGGATAATAATACTGCTAAGCTGAAATATAATATACTCAGCTCAAACTCTGGGATGTAGAAGTATTTAGTAAATGTGATCGCTATTAGTATTCATATTTTAAATTGGTGAGAAAAGTATGAGTTATTCAAAAGATTATGTTGGGACAATAGGCTATTTGGAGAAAAATACTCTTCTAATAAAAGAATTCAAATTAGAGAGTATATGTGGAAAGTAAAATAACAAAATGAGGGTCAATATATGATCTCAAGGTAAGAGATACTTTTTAAAAAAGACGGTATTTATTTATTTGATACAGAGAGAGAGAGAGAGTGAGAGAGAGAAAACAAAAGAAGGGGGAACAGCAGGCAGAGGGAGAGGGAGAAGCGGGCTCCTAGCTGAGCAGGGAGCTCGATCATGACATGGGGCTCGATCCCAAAGCCCTGGGATCATGACCTGAGCTGAAGGCAGATGCTTGACCAACTGAGCCACCCAGGTACCCCAAGAGATGCTTTTTAAAGCATGAAATCAAAGGCATAGATTATGAAAGAATATATAAATAGGTTCAAATATATAAAATTTAAAAGGCTGCAGAGTTCTGGAAATGCTCACCATTGTCTTTTTTTTTTTTTCTTTCACCATTACCTTTCTACACACTATATCCTTCAAAAAGATTTTGCCTTCACAGTCATAGAAGAAGGTCAGGCCAGTGATAGCTAGCATGCACAATGGCTTGAACATCCATCATGGTCTCTCTCAAGATATTAAAATAAGTGATGCAAGGATTCTAATTAGCTGTTGTTGGATTTTGAACTAAAAAGTTGTGTAAGGTTGGGACTGGGGTAGCCATTTCCAGCCTTGGGAAAGGATAAGCGAACAAACAGCCATGTGGAGTAGACAAACAAAAAAATCACAAAAATGAAGATAATAGGAGCTAACACTTATTTAGCTCTTAGGTGCCTGTCTCAAGGCTAGACAATTGCCTGATGTTACAGAGTTAATGAGTAGGAGAACCAGGAGCCAAATCAGGATTCAAATTCGACTCTAGTGGCCCACAATTTCAAGCAGCAGGGGA